GAGCTCGGGGTTCTCTTTTTTTGCCTCGTTGCTTCATTTTCGGTTCCCGTTTGCTTGTTTTTGTCAGTTTTGAACAGGAAACTGCAGTCTTTCAGCTGTGGAATCTCTCGGGCTCTGCTGGCTTCGCGGGTGCAGGTCTGTTGCTGGCTGTGCCCTTTGCAAAAGGTCATCGGAGCGTCCGCCCCTAACTGAGAGCTTTAAAAACCGACAGCTCAGAGCTCTGGGGTGTTCCGTTTGTGGGGGGTTTCGTTGGTTTGAAACCTGTCCTAACCTTCCATTTCCAACTCTGCCACATGTAAGATTTCTAGTGGTAATTTCCATTCTTTAGTAGTTTCCACTTTTTGTTGCCACTGCGAGGGTAAGCAAAAGGGATCAGGTAACTGCTGGACAGCAGCTCCACAAAGGACCATTGTAACAAGTCTGCAGATCTCCCTGATGGAGGCGTTCCAGGTGCTTGGGAGCGAGGGGAGGGATGGGTGACAGAAAGTGGCCGGGGTTCTGTCCCGCGGGCCTGACCTCCCCAGACAGCTACTCCGGTTCCCAGTGCGGGAGGCAGACAGACGGCTGGGCTGGATGGACCATCGCCCGGGTGGCCCTGCAGGGCCTTTCATACGCTCTTCTGAGAGGGGGACGCGGTGCTTTGCTGCGTTCGAAATACTTACTCAGTTTTACTGTTCTCTGAAAACTGCTTCTGTGGTTTTGACTCTCGTTGTGGGTAACAGCTTCACAGTTTGCGTTGCATTGATACAACTCTGTTCAGTGCACCGCCCCTGCCGGCTCCCAGGCGAGGGTTTAACTGAGGGAAAATCCCTCTAGGTGAATATTGCTTTATGGCAGTACCTACTGTTGGAGGGATTTCAGTGAAGATGGGGTTTTGTTTGTTTTTTTTTTAATACCAAAGTAGCTTACTACCAGTATGCACAGAACTGGTACGACTGGCAAAACGGTATCTCGTGAATATCTAAAGGCTGCCAGTCAGGAGATGTACAGAAATGCAATCCACGTGCCTGCTTGGCTAACTAGGAAACGCAGGAGACGGTCATGTCGTATTGCTCCTGATTTGAAACTGAGCTGCCCTTACTCCGAAAGCTTGGCCGTGCAATAATGAAGCTACTGAGTTGTAGTTCAGCGAGGAGATGCTGAATAGTAACCCAAGCAGGAGGATGGGGACTTAGTGAGTTGCCAGGGCCTGCAATCAGGCTGCCTTCATGTCGTCACTGTTACTCTGGACTAGATCAATCAGAGCTATAACAATTACACTTTCTCTGCTCCCATTCAATTTTTCTTATCCCTAAAGGCATGGTCTGGGTGACACAACAGTAAAAGACCCTTCTGAACTTTCTGGAGGCCTGTAGAGGATTACCTTCCTTCACTAGAACCAAGAGTCTGCAGATTTATGTCGTATCTTGTAAATGCAGACAAACACAAGACATGGATTAAAGAATGAAAAGGCAAATTAAAATTTTTAAAATTCTAAATAAATTCAGGAACTTGGAGCTTTTTTCATGTTGTGATTCTGGTTTTTTGTTTGTTTGTTTGTTTTCTTCCATGTTATAATACTGCTACAGTGCAGCTGCACAGCAGTGAAAATGGAGTGGTCCTTCAGCTTGTGGTTCTGGGGGTTTTTTTAATGGTTTGGGGGTTTTTGTTTTCTTAAAAAAAAAAAATAATCTGTAATACCTGCAGCTGCTTTCATTCAGCTTCAGAAGGACCTCTTGTCACTGGTGTTGCCTTGCTGTCCAGGCTGCTGGGTGTTGTGTGGTTTTGGTTGTTTTTAAAAAAGGCAGCACAGCCTGTGCCTTCTAGAGCAGCTGTTGAGGATCGGTCCTGAGCTAATGTGAGGAGGGTGATAGTTGCCAGTGTATTGGGATGCGATGTTTCTCATCTGCATTCCCAAGAGAAGTTTCTGGTAATGATGTCTGCAGCAAACAGTACAGTACTTGAACTAATGTTTACCTCTTTCTTCCCTTCACATCTAGGGTGGCAAAACACAAAAGAACCTCAGGATGTCTGTAAATCAGCAAGGGACGGCAACACTTCGTAAAGCAAAGAAAATCACAGTAAAAACGTGTCTAGATAACCCCTTTGTTTTTCAGTGGAAAACCATAGGTGCAGAAGATATGCATTTTATACTGCAGACTTTAGAAGAAAGGATTAAACATATTGGACTTAAAAAGATTGAGACTCCAAGAAAGAAAAAACGTTCCCTTACAAAAAAACAAATGGAAAGAAAGTGTGATGCTCGCAGCAATGAACTCCCTAAAGAATCGGAAACGGAAGGCCATCAACAAAAACCAGGATGGACTGACATAAGTATCAGAAGACAGCTTGCCATTGGCATTAATGAAGTTACAAAAGCATTGGAAAAAAATGAACTGCTTCTCTTACTGGTGTGCAAATCTGCAAAACCTGCCATGATCACGTCTCATCTTATTCAGCTGAGTGCAAGTCGAGCCACTCCAGCAGGCCAGGTTCCCCGTCTCAGTGAAACAGTTGCGCCACTTCTTGGCTTAACATCCATTTTAGCACTAGGCTTTAAAAAGCAGTCTGATAAATTTATGGAAGCGATAGAAGCAATAATTCCAAAGATACCAGCTTTGGAAGTTCCATGGTTTCAGTACAGAACTGAGGAACTGGTGGCTTGTGCACCTACAGATTCTTCAGAAAATCAGGAATCTGAGCAGCTTGCGGAGTCGCCGGGGGACGAGCTCACAAGCCAGAAGCGGAAGCGTACAGAGAGCTCTCGGCTTGATCTTTCACACGTAACTTTGCAGCCTTTGAAAATCAAGAAACTTGTTCCAAATCCGAATAAGATAAAGAAACCACCTCGCAAAAAGAGAAAAGCCTTTTCAGCATAACTGATGTTAGTTGTGTAAAGCACGTGAATACAAGGCAAACTTTATGTTGCGTTCAGCTGAGGTACTTTCTACTTTAATAAAGAATATTGTTCAAACTTGCGTGTGGGTCTTTACCTGGAGGTAAATACTTCATTTGCAGTTGGAGATCACAGTTAAAATTGGTAATGAATATGCTGAAGTAATTTAAGACATAATAAGTACGTCTTTGGAATTAATGCAAAGCATTAAACAAACTTTGTATTTTTATACAGATGAACATGCTTCAAGCAAATCAGATCTGAGTTCAGTATAATTATTCAAACAAACCAATATCAAAAGTGAAAGTTTATTTAAACAAAGGTTCATGCCGGTATAACTCTTAAAACTGGTTCAATGCTTGTTTCAAGTAAACAGCTGTAACAGCACAGGCAGACTTCGCTTTTGAACTTTCATAGGTTGCTCTGCTGAACAATAAACTTGTTTTGGTGAAGAATGTATGCAGACTTGGGTTCCATCTAGTACCTGGAGTCCCACATGCTGAAGGAAAAACTTTATTTTCAAATACAGAACAAAACCAAATTACTACTGCTGCATTTTGAAAAAAAGATTTTCTATGCAGACAATTTACTAACACACATCCTGTAAAAATGCAAACTAATCTAAACTCAATTTGATTTCTAAATGGAGCCTAAAATGATTTCCCAGGAAGTTGATATTAGCCGGATACAGCTATAAGCACTACAAGACTGAAAACAAACCACATACAACTTTTTTGAGTTTCTTTTAGTTTTACTGAGGGCTATGAACAGTTTCCTGATAAGACAGTATGTTGTAGGAAGGAAAGGGAACAGTGCTGCAGTTCAGACCATCAGAACCAACAGCCTAGGAATTTACTTGGCGCATTATTTTAAGCAAAAGTCAGTATGGTCCTGTAAAAGAAAGCTTAAAATACCTTCACTGAGTTACTTTGTTGTTGTTAAAAATGGAATTTACATGTAGTTTTCAGAGATTTGCTAATCCAGGCTTCCTGTGCCATCAGACAGCTAGCTCGTCTATGTTGGATTTATTTCAAAGTGATTTTAGTTCATGGCAGGAGCAGTGCTATGATGCTCCCTGAAGTTTAAACAAAACTAGACCTTTAATGCTAAAATTTGTGCCCTGCCTGGCTGAGGGTGGCAAAAAGAGGTGAAGGATTTTTTAAATTTTTTTGCCTTGCTTTGTAGTCCTTCATGCATGGCCTTTGTTTTGTCTTTTTGGATGCACACTACTTTGAAGGCATGCTAGCACTAGCGTAGTTAATGCCCGTGCTGGCTAATGGTAACACTGAAATCTTGGCCTTTAGGCAGGACATGAGGATTAGCTTTGGTAACAAAGGTAAGTGCAGCAACCTGCTGCCTGCCCAGGTCTATAGCTGTCTTCAGGGCTTTGTGTCCCCTCTGCAGATAGAAAGTTACGCTGGGAAAGAAATTACAGATGTTTCAAAAGATTGGTGAGAAAGGTGGTGGAGTGAGCCTTGAGTATGGCAATTGTGAAACCATCGGGTAGGTTCTGAGGCGTCCTACGTGGTAGCTGTTCATAGCAAGCCTAGTGCACAGTCAGGCTCAACTTTGGAAACAAGGGAAGAGCCTCTCCTAGTGAGCGGCTGACAGTGGTGCCCACAGTTAAGCACCTGCTGAGGGAGCAAGAGTGAGTTGCCACAACTTCCACCTCCTGAGTGAACGGTCCTGTTGTGTCACTGCAGGCTGGGACATCTTCAAGATTCACGTCCTCTTGCTGCCGTCCTTCCTTCCTTACCCCAAGATTGAAAGCCAGGCTGCAGGAAACCCATGTTCAAGTCTGTCTTCTACCTGGACATACTTGGTCCAATCACGGCCTCAATGCTTTTACAGACAATAGTAATGGGGAGGATTTGCCTTGCAATTTCAGAGGAGAGAGGAGAAGAGAAAACATCTGCCTAACATTTCTTTTGCTTGCATTTTTTTTGAGGGAAGGGAAGGCAGAGAACACAAGCATCTCTCTTTCACCTGGTATTCAAGACCACCCATCTGGACCAGGGAGAGCTGTGCCATGATCACTGGAACAGGTCCAGAGAAGGGCCACAAAAATGATCCGAGGGCTGGAACATCTCTCCTGTGAAGAAAGACTGAGAGAGTTGGGGTTATTCAGCCTGGAGAAGAGAAGGGTCCAGGGGGACCTTAGTGCAGCCTTTCAATACTTAAAGGGGGCCTATAAGAAAGATGGGGACAAACTTTTTAGCAGTGCCTGTAGTGAGAGGACAAGGGGTAATGGTTTTAAACTAAGAGGGTAGATTCAGACTAGATGTAAGGAAGAAATTTTTTTACAATGAGGGTGGTGAAACACTTCAACAGGCAGGTTTCCCAGATTGATGGTAGAAGCCCCATCCCTGGAAACATTCAAGGTCAGGCTGGATGGGGCTGTGAGCAACCTGATCTAGTTTCAACTAGCAGATGTCCCTGCTTACTGCAGGGGGGTTGAACTAGATGACCTTGAAATATCCCTTCCAACCCAAACTACTCCATGACAGTCTTTTAGCAAGGAAGTGCCTTAACCATGGGGACAAACTGTGCCCTGCTGTCCCACCTCACGTTAGGCAGCAGTTGAGAGAGGATTGCCAAGCCTCTGCCTTTAGAACCAAAGGACACACCAAGCCCCTTGGTGAACCTCCTCCTCATCCCAGCGGGCTCCAATGCAAATCCTTCTTGCTACACCTCAGACATCACTACCCTTGATTATATTTTCAGGCACTTAATTCTCCTCAGGCCTCACACAGGGAGTCAAAGCTCCCTCTGCGCCATCTGTTACAACTGCTAGTAGCAGACAGGATTCAGAGTGGCCAAAGCTGTAAAGCCCACCTGCACCATTAGATGTCTGAAAGATCTCCTTCTGAAGCCCTTTTAAATTCATGAGGTCCAGAGCTGGTGCACACCCAGGGGTCAGACAAACCACATTCAATCCCTTCCTTTGTTTGAAGGAGGTCGAATGCTTTAATCACAGAGCTGAAATGCAGTAAAGGAAAGTATTTATCACTGTCTCTAGGACAGAATCCTCTCACCACAATTGAACAAGAAAAGGAAATCAAACCACAAACCATTCACACACTGGAAAAGGAGCGGGAAGAAAGAAAAGCCCCACTGCTATAAGCAGGGGGGGAGGGCTGGCAGTTATGAAGAACAGACAAATTTATCTTCATCTAAATTGATGTTTTCAGGTACAGAATTCAACTTTCAGCAAAATCTGCTGTCAGAATTACAGACATGTTTAAAAGGAAAGTTCAGACATTTGCATTTCATGAGATAGTCAAGTCACATTCAAAAGATGCTCACAGCACAGAGGCTTCACTACCACAATTTGGCACTTTCAGCTAGAACAGTTTCTTACTGCAGATCTCCTCGGTGCTCATGTTACTGAAGCATCCATGAGCTGAGAGAACTGCTATCACATCTAGCTGTGACGCTATGCTGGAATGCATATAAAGTGCTTCAGAAGCCATTCCGGTCGCTGAGCATTCATGAGGGAATTAAACAGCTGCCCCCAACAACAAAGATCAGCCCTCCTACATTTCAGGAAGCCAGTAGAGAGACTTCCAAGGACTGAGGGTAGGTAGAGCATTTCTGTTCTGCTTACCAGCCACATATATAGCAAAACTTCTTGTTCCAAAGTCAGGATAAAAACACTACCAGGAACAATTTCTGAATACATATTTACACAAGATACTTTTCATTAGAATTACAGACTTCATAGGAAATCAAAGTAGATAAAGGAATATGTGCAATTTCGCAGAAGCGTTGAAAACATTCAAACTATAAATATCCTGATAGCACTACTAAAATTCTTAGTTTTACACACAGGCTGATGTTACTCTACTGAGGAAAAACTAAGGTTTTGTGCCACAACTGTAAATTAAGTACAGTAATGTATTCTCATTCTGGCAACATAGGTAACACCTGCACTGAACAGTGCGATACTGTTAAATCAATCCACTGATCTATTGAAGATCAAAGTACAAATCTGTATTTTTATTGATTTGGCAGCATTGCTTATGGAGAAACAAATGCACTAGTTAAACCAGTACATTGTCATACTGCTCCAGTTACAAAAACATCCAGGACTTTTCATAGAGCTACAAACATATCGTACTTCATGAGTTTCCCCCAAATGATGATATCCATGTGAAGTAAATAAGCAAAGATACTCAAGTTTGTATCCTTCATTCTGTTACACCGACAAATATACACCACCACTTAATAAATAGAAATGCAGCAGTTCATCCACATAATACCAAATATTTTTGTACCCTAATCCACCACTGAAGTTCAGTTTGTACAAAACAGTCTTTTCTACAGAGTGGAAAAAAATACCTTCTTCTCATCAAGGTGCAAGCTAAGCTTTGAAACTTAAATGAATGTGCTTTTATTCTTTTCATGGACAGTAAAAGAGTTTCATGGACCTTCTGATCTATCTGAAAATGCATAAGTTTGGTCACATATGGATATCTTAATTGTTCATGTTTAATGGACTATTTCAGTATCACTGACGTTGTGCTTTTACTCCTCTTGAACAATACCATTCCAAGAGTTATGGAGATCAAATTAACTCAAATGATGACCTCAGAGTTCTAGAAACGTAAGTGTCCTCATTGTAATACAAGACCAACCTAAAGGAAGAAAAATACAGTATTTTAGTTCAACTATGGCAATAAACCTTAACATCGTTAGTTTTCTGCTCCTCAATTACGAATCTAAAATACGTATGATCAACTAAAAAAGTTATTTTAAAACTTCTGCCCATTTTGGCCAGTGTAGATTAATGTACCATCATCCCTAACAGCATTCAGAAACACTTTTTTGCTCCCTTACCTTTTCAGATTCCATGCCAGGACACCTCCAATTGTACAAATAATACTGCAAATTTCCATCTCCGATCCCAAACTTGAGTTTTTCCAGGAATGTTTTGTTTTCCATTAAGTCTAGTGCATTGAACACATCGAATCCTTTCTGGCAAC